CCGGTCTAATACGGTTGAACTGCAGGATCATTGACCAATCAATGATCTCTATGTTTAAATAATCTAATTAGAAACCCAGTCCGATCCAATAATCGGTTCATCAGATTGGCTAGTTCGATTGCTAGACCGGATCGGATTTAATAACTATGCATGCAATGACCCTAAATTGTACATCTTGACCGAAACAGATATCCATCACTATCTAAAATTAGAAGTTGAAGCACGAAAAAAAAAAATGTGAAGGGAGAAGCAAATAGAGAGCAATTAAGGTATCCAAAAGTGAAAACTGCAGCTCGATTGGAAGGTGGACAATATCCTTGTAGGAATGCCAAGCTTATGCGAGGTGCTTCAATTGTAGAATGATCGATGGGTGTTTTTTTTAATTATTTTTTTTTTATTTATCTAATTTGCCTTTAAGGCAATTTGTCTACATATGTCCTTAGTTTCCTGTTGAAATACTAATAGTATCCCCTGGGGCTAGTAGTAGTCATTTTGTAGATATATGTGACTCAATTGCTGTAAATAATAACAAATCAGCCTTCTAAGAAGAAAATAAGATATTTTGTAATAGAAATGACTCATGCTATTTTGGTCTATATGCATACGAAAAGCATATCAAATGAAGAACACAAGAAAGAATTTAGTATACGTGGAATTACAAAAGAAACAAATTGAAAGCTCTAATAAAAATGAGCAGAAACGTCAAATTAATTATCTTGTGATTAACTTTGTGTACATGCCGTGGTTCTTTAGAATTTTCATTTCCATTCTAGTCAAAGAAGAATAATAAAAAAAAAGTTTTGCATAGCGAATGAGTTGACTCTTTATGATAATATATGATATCTCACCCTTAATTTAATGAGAAGTAAAGGCTGCTATTTCCACAAGAACTTTCAAAACGTTTGAAGTACCCAAGAATCTTACAAGTCCCGGTCCGATGTGACAGAACCTTACAGGTCAAAGAAATCAAGCAAACGAAAGCGGAAAAAATATTAATAAAGATTAATAAGACGCCCATATGTTACAGGAATCAAACGTACCTGGTGTAATATAGGTAAGAGTAAAATAAAGGAAACAATTTGCCCACAAGCCTCAATTGAAGAAAAATCTTTCCTCTTCATTCTGCTGTACGTACAGGGTTATCAATTATGGCATAGCTTTTAGTATAATTGTATTTGACTGCTAGTGGACAGAGTTGTCGAACATCTATGACCAAGGAAGGAGCTAGGCAATAGCTATTGTCATTTCATAGTTATGAAAAAGAAAAATAGCATTCTATCTTTCACTTCCTCCCTTTTTTTATAATTAGCGTTTAAGAAATTTGCTCTTAAATACTTTTATCTGTCATTTTACTATTCCAATGCAGCATTAATTATTTTTTCACAATTTTACCCTTTTATCTCTCTTTTTCAATACAGGATTCTTAATTAGTTTGCATTGCTTTTGACCTAATAAAACAGCACCATTTAATACTCTAGTGAGAGAAAATATGGGTGAATTGGACAATTAATGAGGATACAAAAGAAAAGTAGTGTACAGATTTAAGCAATGAAAAACATTTCTTAATTGGTGTGCAAAACTTTAAACGTCAGTTATAAAAAAAGGGAGGGAGTATATCACAATTAGAACCGAGCACTCATTCTCATACAACAATAAACATCCTCATGAATGCGAGCACTCATTCTTTTTAGTTAGAAAACATTTTTAATCTTAAACTCACTTTCAATCTGTTTTTGTAAAACCTGACTCGGCAACGAGAAGATTCTGACAGCCTCCAGTCCATGTACGGTACACCCAAATTATAACAAAAAAAATTCTGAGAGTCCTGGCCATCTAGATGAATTGGACTTGCAATTCTTAATTCAATGTTCAACTGTCTGGAGTTGCTTACTTTTCTTCTTTCTTTCTGGTGATCCATGTTTCTCTGCCGAACACCCAAAAAAAAAAAAGCAAAAAAAAAAAAAAAATTTGCAATAAGTTTCAATTGAATTCCCAGATTGTGATTTCACCCATAACTCAAATAATAATAACCAAAAAGTTAGCCAAAAAGTTATGCAGCAATTCAAGCCAGATCAATTTAAGTCACGAGGAGCAAGATAAAATGGTATGAAAAGGACTATCAAACTCTTAAATAAACCACATGATCTACCCAAAAATTTTCCTTTCTACGAAACCTTTCTCATATACAAAGAATTAAGCTCCTCTCCATTAACTGTAAAGGATTTTAATGTATATACAAAAATAAAAATTAAATTGATTAAATTTTACCATTAGATCAAAGTTTAAAAATTTTATCGTTATTTTGACCTATTTTGTGCTGTCCAAATATTTTGTTCAAATTTAATGACAAAAATGTTCATAGATAACTTTGATTTTTAATTGCGTTGATCTACTTGTGAAAATAAAACTATTCGCATAAACATATTGCTTTGTAAAAATTTATTTGTATAGATATAAATATATAGAAGATTCCAATATCACTGCTCAAAAAGTGAACGACCCGAGGACCGTCAATGGTCGTACTCGTACAACGGTGCCCTAAATGATGTATTGACTTAATCATCCCCTCTGGTCCTGATTTATTGGATTTTCTATAGTAAAAGAGCTTGAAAAACTAGTATAAAAGCAGAACACCATCACAGCCAAATGCATGCTCATATACCACATGGCTTTGATCAATCTTGATCTTTCATTTTTCTCATTTTTTTCCTTGCTCGTATTCCTTCTATCCCTTCTCAAATGGTTCTATGCTGCTTCTAAACCCCAGAAAAAGTTACCACCATCTCCACCAAAGCTCCCAATTATTGGCAATCTTCACCAGCTTGGCCAGTTTCCACATCGCTCCCTCCAATCACTGTCAAGAAAATATGGTCCACTCATGCTGCTTGAACTGGGAAGCAAGCCAATGCTGGTTGTCTCTTCCTCTAATGCAGCTTGCCAGATCTTGAAAACCCATGATTTATCCTTTGCAAGCAGGCCTAAATCGGGCATCCCAGATAAACTCTTTTACGGAAGCAAGGACATAGCTTTTGCACCATATGGTGAGTATTGGAGACAACTAAAAAGCATTTCTATGCTTCATCTTTTGAGTAACAAAAGGATTCAGTCTTTTCAACATGTCAGAGAAGAAGAGACGTCACTCATGATCGAGAAGATCAGCCGAATGTGTTCTTCCTCGGCTGTAAATTTAAGTGACATGTTTTTAATTCTCACAAATGATATAATCTGTAGGGTTGCCTTGGGGAGGAAGTATAGCGAGGAAGAAAATGGAGGAAAAGTATGGAGAATTTGAAGGTGTTTGGTGAGTTACTGGGTATTTTTGATGTAGGAAACTATATTCCTTCGCTTGCATGGGTTAATCGCTTCAATGGTTTGGATTCTAAAGTGAAGAAAACAGTTAAACAGATTGACGGATTTCTTGAGGGTGTGATAGAAGAGCACATGAATAAGAGGAAAGGAAAGGCTGAAAGTCACTCTACTGCTGAGGCAAGGTGCCAAGACTTTGTAGATATCTTGATTGAGATTAATGAGGAAAAGACTATGGCTTTGCTCTTGAGCGAGATGCCATGAAAGCTATCATCCTGGTAAATTTCTGTCTGCATCTCTTTGCATTGGTAATATGTCTTTGGGATCGAAGTAAGTACGGTTGATTTTTGTGTGGTTGCATACGGTCATTTTATTCTTATTTTTTAAATTTGGTATATACTTATATCAGTAAATTGGAGTACGCAAGTGATATTTATATATGTTAGATTAGCATAAATCAAATTGTGTAAGAAATCAATAGTCGTACAACATATAAATCACAACCGAACTTGCATCAAATTCTAAATTTTTGACCTGTTTTAACCACCAAACATATAAATATTCAGGTTTGTTGAGTTAAGCCTTATGAAGCCTGGATTGATGAGTGAATGGAGGAATAATTGGGTTTTGTCAATCGAGATTTGGCAAACCTAAACTCAACCCATTTAAATATTCATATATACGTTAGAACTATAAAAGCTCACAAACCTTAGGCTGTTTATTGGACTATGAGCCAGCCCAAGCTAGCTTCTATTTATTGATTTTAAAATCATTTCATTGATAAAGTTTGATTACTACATGGTTTTGAATAAAGTTGGACTGGTACGCAATAGAAATAAAGGTTATTGCCATCGTATAATCCAAACATGTTCTAATGCAACGCTTTCTTTGATTCCATTATTTAGGATGTCTTTGGTGCTGGATCTGATACAACACATTCAGTTATGGATTGGGGAATGTCAGAACTTCTAAAGAACCCCAAAGTCTTGCATAAATTGCAGGCTGAGGTAAGAGATGTGACTCAAGGAAAGCCAGAAATAACTAGAGCTGATATGGAGAAAATGCAGTACTTAAAAGCAGTGATCAAAGAAACTATGAGACTTCATACTCCAGTGCCATTACTGGGTCCTAAAGAATCGAATCAAGACGTCAAAGTAATGGGGTATGATGTACCAAAGAACACGCAGGTACTTGTGAATGCTTGGGCAATTGCAAGAGATCCATTGTTGTGGGAGAACCCTGAAGAATTTAGACCTGAGAGGTTTTTGGGTTCGAGTGTAGATTTTCATGGATTGAACTTTGAGTTAATTCCGTTTGGTGCAGGACGAAGAGTTTGCCCGGGTATCAACTTCGCCATGTCAGTAACTGAACTTGCATTGGCAAAACTGGTCAACAAATTTAACTTTACATCACCGATGGAATCAATCCAAACGAGTTGGACATGACCGAATCATTTGGTATCACAGTCCACAGAAAATTTCCTCTGCATGCCATTGCCACACCATATTCTTGCTAATGTCTTTGTTTATGATGTTTCAGCTTTACTTGTTTTGTTTCGTTTCTAGTGAAGTTCTTGCAAGTAAATTATAGACTATAGTGATGGGTTATTGTACACTGTGCCCTAAGGATACCGAATAAGGGGTGCGTTTGGCATTATCTTATTTGCACGATGTAACTATAGTTAATAATGCTACTTAAGTTATACACAATTCATCGTATTCATTCTGGAATGCAACAAACATGCATGGAGAGTATATAGAAGCTGCCTGGATCAGTACGGGAGTTTGTTGCAATCCCAACATTGGCAGCTTCTGTCGACTGTGATACTCAGCTTTTAGTTTATTATATCTTTTTTCATCTACAACTCGGTTAAAATGTTTGAAGAATTGAACCAGATCATGATCAGGTTTCAGATAATTTTTTATGGAAGCATTTAGACTCTCACTTAGTTGGGTGCTACGCATACCTGCAGTCCAGGCGCCTTTCATGAAGCATTTTGCCCATTTCTTTCGACATGCATAAATGCCACACAACCATTCATTTGTTTCGAGTTTGTGTTCTTTTAGCATTGCATCACAAGCCATGATAAACTCATTTTCATCTTCTATCTCATACATACATTCAGCAAATCTATATGGGAGATTACTACCATCCTTGTAATAGTTCCCAAGGTGTTTCATGAAATTGACTCTAATATGAAAAGTGCACAGGCCATGGTATGTTGAAGGCATAACAGCTGAAATTGCAACGGCCATGGCTGCATCCTGATCTGTGAAGATGGTTTTTGAGTGCCTTCCACAAACTGCCTCTACAAATGTACCGAACACCCACTTGAATGATTCAATGGTCTCATCATACAATAGAGTTGCTCCAAAAATAACTGATTGTCTAAATTGATTGAATCCCACAAATACGCCCAATGGTCTGTACTCCTTGTTAGTTTTATATGTAGTGTCAAATGTAACCACATCCCCAAAATAGGTATAATCCATCAGCATTGATGCATCAGCCCAAAATATATTTGTAATTTGTTCTTCACAATCAAGCTGCTCTGCATGGAAGAATGACGGATTTTCCAATTTTTGTTCTTCAAAGTATCGTAGCATTGCACCAGTTTCACCATACTTTAATCCCCTCTCTCTTTTTGTTCGTAGATAGCGTTTTAAGTCATCACGAGTGTAGCCAATATTGCCTAATCCACCTGCCTCTTTTTCCATGAGTTCATGAGATTGTTTCAAGGATATTCCTGCATCATTTGCAATCTCAGCTTGAGTAAATTCTTGAATTATGATGAAAAAAAAAGAGTTTCTACAAGTAAGGCTATTGGTGGAGGCGTTTCTAAAATGAGGTTGTTCGCATTTGTTGAATGCGAACTTACTTAGCTCGCATTAGGCAAATGCGAGTTAGGATACATTTTTTTTCAAAAAAAAAAGTACCTCGCATTTCTCTGTCTCTTTCACCTAAACCCAAAAACAGAGCTCCGTTCTTTACGTCAAACATTCGGCATTCAAATCCATAAGAAGAGGGGCAGAAATTGGAACGAAACTTTGCACATCCAGCTCACTCTCTCGTCTTTTGCGTAGCTAGACACCAGTCCAAGCTTCCAAGAGGAAATTGCCCAAAATCCCTCAATCTCTTTCTTTCTCGTCGGTTGTTGTCCGCCATAGTTGAGCTTCCACTAGACGCCATTTGCACCCCAACCAGCTGCCATTTCTGCCTCAGCAGTCATCCCCAACCATTTTTGTGACCCTTTGCGCTGCACATTTTCTTTTCCCTTCGCAAATGGCTTTCAAAGTCGTGGCTGTGCATCGCAAATTGTCTCTGAAGTATGTGGCTTTGTGACTATCCTGTCTGGAACATTCCTTCTCCACAAGACCAAGGACATGGGAGGTGTAAGCAGCACTAGTAACACACCCGTGCCATCTCCGGTATTCCTGGCATCACGCCAGAATTCTGCGGTCTGAGCTTTGAGATGAGATCGCATTCTGCGGTCTGCGGTTTGAGCACAGTGACCTCGCATTTAAGAGATGCGAGGTAACTGACCTCGCATTTCATAAATGCGAGGTCTGGTTTTCTTTTTTTTTTTTTTTTGGATTTCGTTGGAGGAAAATTCAAGAGACTTCGCATTCAGCAAATGCTAGTCGAGGGAGCTCGCATTTGCTAAATGCGAAGATCCCTTGGACGGAACCTCACACTCAAAATGCCCCCTTTGTAGAATTTTTTTAAAATTCATCATAATTTTAGAAATTTCTCATCTCAGCTTGGGCTCCTTGAGAAATACTTACTTTTCTTTGCGAACGCATTATATGAGCACATTCTGAAATGTGTAGTGTGTGATTATGCTCGATTACCAGATCTCGAACCTGATACTTCATTGTTTCTCTGTTCAAAATTATCCCCATTTTAGCTTCATATCCGGTTTTTGTTTCAGCCTGAGCTCTCTTTGATTTTACATCTCCTTCATACCGTGGTTTGAAACCTTTTTTGCAACATGTGTACCTTCTCGATGTAACTACACCGTCTTTATCCTTGTTCAAGTAGTCTTTCCGAACACTGAACCCAACAACTAATCTGTACCTATTCTAGAAGTTGTATGCCTCATCTTCTGACTGAAACTCCATGCCGATCTTAGGACACAATGCTTCTTCCATTGTGCTGTATTCGACAAAAGCATTTTTTGCTATTGTTTTTCAAGACAAACAATTATATTTATTTTTTATTTCTTTATTCACATCATAAGCACTTAATTATTTGTATTCACATATGTACATACTTTATAACGACGTGTACACACCTTACAACAATTTGTAAAATAATTTTTATGGACGTGTATCTTCTCTGTAATAGGTAATCACATTACTCTAATAATTTGCATAGCATATTTCACTACATAATATATACATTTCAAACAAATATTATAACCAATTTGTGTACAATATCAGTATTTACATACTTTACAATCATATGCACACACTTTATAACAATGTGTACACCCTTTATATCAACTTGTAACATAACAAATGCATGTATGCCTCATACACTTTTACATAGCGTAAGGTTTGACAGAATTCTCAAAATCTATACATTGTCATCTATACCGTTTGTGTAGTTATTTAAGTTGGTCACATTGTTAAGTTATTTTTACGCTTATATTATTTTATTTGTACACATCCTCATTTATATTTTAAAATTCTGTATGGGATCTTTATTGTACAAGTTAACCATTCTCTCTAAAAGGATAATGACATACTTCTTATAATTTTTAAATCATGCTTCACTAAATAACACATTTATTACAATCAAATTACATATAATATTAGCGTTTACCTTGGACAGAGTTCACCATGCAGTAAATTTCAGATGGGCCGCTCACAAGTCTCGGCTATGCATTTGTTACTCGATGAATATCTATCTCAGTCATCCACTACTTAAATCGGCGTGTATTGTTGCTGCAGCGAATCTTCACAATTATCTTGTGCACACCTCAGAAAAGATGCCCGTTTTGATAGGGTTTATTTAAGAGTTGGAAGAGAAGAAGACAAAAATTTATGTCTATGTTATGCGAAATAATTTGTTGAGAGGAGAAAAACAGAAGGAGCTTGTTGAAAGGAGAAGAGCAAAAGGAGCTACAGCGGTTGATGATGGGCCCATTTTGTTCGATTTCATTTTGGCTGTTGATGATGGGCCCACCCCATCTTGGCCATGAAAAGTTTATAAGCGGTTGTCTGACAACCGCTCCAGCCCCTCGTCCAACAGCCGGGAAAGGCTTATAATAAAGGCAGAAATGACATATTGTCTAAACAAATGCAGCAACCAGTTGTATCAGCTCCAAGAAAAAGAACAAGCAAGAAGTTGAAACGACAAAAGTGCCCCCAGGAGAGCAGATGAAATGCAATGAATAGTAACCCTCAAAACGTTTTCTTATATGTTATTCTCTCCCCATCATAAATGCTTGTGGGCCATTATGCATTTGCTTTACATATTTGTCCTCCATTCTTGTATTTCAAGGGAGACAAGTAGTGATACAAGAAAATTTGCACTATTTCAAGGGCATTTTTGAAACTTGAGGAAGGATAGCTGTGTACATAGGAAGCATAAATCTGGTGCAGAAGACATAAATGGACAACAAAGCCCTTATGATAAGTATACAAAGGGCAGAAGGGACATCTTACCCAGCACAAAAGCAGCAGCCAGTTGTACCAGCTGTAACAAAAAGAACAAGTGGCGGCCTAAAATGACAAAAATGCCCCCAGGAAGAGCAGATGAAAACCAATAAATAGTAACCCTCCAACATCTTCTTATATATTATAAAGATATTAGAAACCTTCCTTGAGGTTTCTCTTAATATCACTTAGCACCCCTAAGGTTTTAGAAATATCACTTATCTTCCCTAGTAATTGTAAAAACATTATATTAACTCTCACTTGACACATAATTTACAAAATATCAAATAAATGAATCTCAAAAATTTTAAAAATAAACGAAAGTCACTTTCTTTTTTTCCCTTTTATTCATCATTCTCTCTCATTCATATTTTTTGGATGAATATGCAATATTTTATTTATAAATTACAATAAATTAAATTTTGTTTATCTTTTACTTTTCGTAATTGTGATAAAGTGGGGTATGATTTATTTGCTTATTTTAAGTTGATTTTTATAATGATTGGTATAGTTTAATGATTTGAGCAAGAATTGAGAAGATGTTGGAAAAAATATAAATTCATAAGAAATCGATTTTGAGTATATAAAATTAAATTGATGCAATTGTATTTCTTTTTAAATGATTTTTTTATTTTTCAATTTTATATTTTTGTGGGATATAGCATTGTGATGTGGTTGTACTATAGGAGATTGTTTTTAAGGTGATGGTTTTCTTGAAGTGAACAAAGTGGTTCAAGAATATTTTTATTTAGCAAGTGAAAGAATAGTTTATGACAAGTTGTCGATGCCTGTGCAATAATAAAAACCTGCTCAACTAAAGTTAATTTCTGTAGATAGTGGTAAGCAGGGTCGAATCCACAGGGACTGGGGGTAATTATTTCTTTCCGAATTCACAGTGACAATGGGGTGTTTTTATCTCAGGGGTAACAATTTAAACAATTCAACTAAAAATAATAAAAATAAAATAGCCAACTAGAAATTAAATAACAAATTACTAAAATCTAATGAGTGATAATTAAGGATCTAGCCAAGAAATAACTTCAGCAATGGTTCACCTAATTGATCATCGATACAAAGCCAATTCTAATTATTTACCAATAAATAGGTTATAACTGCCAAACAAGCGATGACAGTCAACCCCTCCTTATTGTGTCGGTGATTAAGGTACGCCCGTTAATCACTGCCCTAATTGAGAAATAATCCTAGGTACGCCCATAAGATTTAATTCCCCAATTGCCTTACGTATTAGAGGAGCCATATTCTAATCAAATAACGCACTACCAGGGTTATTTCAGATTAGCCCGCATATTTTTCTGACACAAACCCAATCATGTCAGTTATCACTATTTTGAGACAATTAAACAATTACGGATTTAACGTCCCAATTGACAATAGATTATCAAATTAACTAATTATCCGGATCTAAGACAATCAATTAATTAAACAATCATAAGCACTGCAACCAAGGAATATGCGAATACCAATAAATAGAGAAAAAAATAAAATTAAATCGATCTCACAATTTTTTAGGTGAATCAAAGCATCCGTTGTCCCTTGACTGGGGTGAGGAAATTAGTTCATAGTTGATGAACAAAATCCACAAGAAATTGAAGCAAAAGCTGCGGCCATCAATTCGGAAGTTGGGCGAATTCAATTCGTCTATTCAATGAAGAAAGAAAGCTACAAAAGGTAATTCATAGTTTTCCTTCGGTCTGGACATCCGCAGGAAGCAAACCACTAAAAGACGAAAAAGGAAAAGTCAAAAAGAAAACAAGCCTAAGCTACTGAACGGAAAGTTCCCTTTCAATTTCTATCTAAATCCTATTCTAATGCTCTCCTTGCGCGGCGGCCCCCTTGCGGAGAGGACGAAGCCTCTGGAGGAAGAAGAAGAGCCTGGCGTTCCTTTTTCCTCTTTTTATACTATCTTCCGTGAATTACCAAATAGGACTTGTATTTCCTTGTTCCAAAAATACCCTGGATACCTGCTACTTGAACTCTTTCCTGATAACTGTCAAATCGGCACTTATTATGCTATTTTCGTTCTACTCCCTGAAATATATGCAAAATACTAAAAATGAGTAGAATCTAAAAATTAATCCAAATTGGGTCAGGTAATAGGAGAAATTAATAATAAAATAAATGATAAAATCGCAACCTATCAATTTCCCCCACACCTAAACCATACTTGTCCTCAAGCATGAGAATAGCAAACAAGTACCAATATTTGACAATGGTCATTGTTCCATCTACCATATTGCCAAAATACCAAGAAAAATATATATCAAGCATGAATGATCAAGATCCAAGAAACATCACTTCGGTTAGCTTCTAAACCACAAACTCCTCTAATTTCAGGTTAACTAATCTAAGAAAAAGGAATGACGCACAACATTTATCACAAATGGTCCAACTATTAACCAAAATCTCAACATTAAATCCATAATTCGGCAAGCTGACTTTTATTACACACTAACACAACCTTCACTTTTTTTCACATTTTTTTCTACTTTTTCTCTTTTTTTTTTATTCTTTTTTTTTTCAATAGTAACAAAAGACTTAGTCGCTAGCCATTTGAGCCTTTTGACGCGAACTCCAACATTGGCCAGATGAAGGAGCCCGGTTACTCAGCTTCTATCGCCACGTGACCACGTACTCATAGCAATTACTACTTTTTGACGCGAGAATCGACACTTTTGGTGAAGATCCCCGGTTACTCGGTAGTAACTACTAGCGGAGTACAGTCAACTCTTATTCACAGCCAAATAATACAAAAATTCAAATAACACAAAATCAAAAGAAAACTTGCATCAGTTAGCCTCATTTTCAAACATGGAGAACTAAAGTTAATAACCGGACC